GGGCGCGGCCGTCCGCCGCGAGCCCGCCACCGACGAGCCGCCGCTGGCCTCCGGGGACGCGTCGACCTCCACGAACTTATCCATCGAGCTGGACCGGTCCCGCGTCTCCGGCTCAGGTGCGACCCATGTGCGCGCGCAGCCCGCCGCTCTCTGCCTCAGTTTACTCTCACCTTTCCCTCTGTGGCAGGCGGACAGGGACCAGTAAAGTCTCACTCTTTAGGCTCCCCGAGAGAGTCAGTCCAAGTGGGACCAAACATTGAGGGAAACTTTACCCAAGACCGTGACGTAAGTTGTTGGTTCAAGTTTGGACTTAAGTTCTGAATTAAGAGCTCCCGACGATCCAGAAAGTCAGTCGCCTCGGAGTCGTGAGTTTACTGTAAGGCGGATGACAGTCGAGATACATAAAGAAAGAATGACCAGTTGCCGCTGAGACAAGTTTGAAAACTTTCTATTAAATGTTGCAATTGTGACGTTAGCCAGAGGGGGCAGAGGCTGGCGAAATCTTGTCGCCGGCTGCAAAGTATATATGTGCATTTAAAAAGCAAGCGCCTTTACAGTATCATGTGGGCTGATTTTAAGTGGACTGGTTATCTTTGAAAAAGAGACTGACAAACGATGTTTAAACTAAAATTTAGGCATGCTGTTGCAGGCCTCTATATCTGTGTGATGAGTTTGGGGTGGTGGAGTGTAGTTTGGCTCATTTGGCTGAACTGAGGTAAGTTTGTATGGGATCCATCTGGAGTCTAGACAGGCTTGTTTCTGAAAACAAAACTCCTACTTGCTGGTGTTAGGATGGTTCCAAAGAAGTGGTATACGCATTGTTTAGGAGCATCATTCCATGTGACCGTTTATAGAAATGCCACAGGAAAGGTAGTTTTTATTAATACTGCTTATTTTCCTAGAAGTTGCTACGTTTTACTTGACCTATAAATGTGCTGGGTTGCTTGAAAGGATTTTGGACAGAGCAAGAGTTCTAACTGAACTTTTGTTCAAACATAAACACTCTAAATACGCATCCTGAAGGAAACGTCTCTCAAATGCACTAAATGCCCGTCTGCCATTCCCATAACATTAGCTGATAGATGGGTTTGCAAAACAACACCGAACTGAGCAAAGAAATGTGAAGTTTCTCATTTTCACAAGCGAACCCTGGTTCAGCCGGCCACAGTGGACACTTTGGCCATATGTGATCTAGGATCTGCTCAACAGCCAGAGTGGACACTTTGGCCATATATGATGTAAAATCAGCTCTGTGATGGAACTGAGATCATATGGCTGCTACGTGCCTTGTCTTGCCCCCAGAGTTACTCTGTGTGTTAGAATTAATAGAGCCTAAGATCTTAAAAGTACATTTATTGTTTGACAGGGTTGGGTCTGTTTTTTTCTCCTATTATTTGTGATAAACACTGTCAAGGCTAGAAAGAGCCAAAAGAGACTAGAATGTGATAGAATGCAAGTGGCTGTCAGAATTCTCAGTGATGATGTTTAAATCACAGTTGACAGTTTGTTAAGATGGTTTTTGACATCTTAGTTCTCACAGCAGCACGGCAGGGGTTGTCGGTGACCCTCATCTTTACTATGAGAGTTGAAAATTAATACAACTGTAACGACCAGTTAGCTCCTAGAACTTCAGGAGTAAGTCGTTTGCACAAAGTCAAATATCCAAGAAGTGCAAACTCAGACTGAGCCTACTTCGTTTTGTTTTTTAGGTCCTGAGCTTTGTTCTCTTTGCTGTAGAACTCTGTGTTATAAAAGAACTGCTACTTTGGGTGTTATGTGGGGTTTTCTTAAATAGGATTTTAATAGTATTCGTTAACTGCTTTGGTCTTTTACCTCCCGTTCAGTTGCCATGAAACCACCTTTATTTCAAGATATTCTTGCCTTTTAGATCAGTATGGACATTTGTGGTGTTTGACTATTCTTGTTGATATAAACAGGAACTTTATGTATTTAAGCCAGCGGAGAATACCTTACACCTATTATCCTTATATTAACAATGTAGTTGGCGAAGTCTAGAAGTCACATGAACTATAGTGTTGTGAAGTCAGTGTTCAGTCACCCTAATCAGGGAATCAGATTGTAATAGAGACGATAGTACCTGTGTACCAGTTGTACATGCTGGGCTTAGTTCCCTGCACTTCACATGTAATAGATCATAACTAGTCCTATGAAATGAGTACTACTTTGGATTCCCACGTAGGAAAGCAAGCTTCACAAGCTTGAGTTGTGATCCCAACACCTAGGTGGGCAAAGCCAAAGGACAAGCAAAGACAGTCAATCCTAGCGTGGGCTATATAGTAAGTACTAGGCTAGCCAGGATTGGCATAGCAGGACCCTCTCTTAAAAAAAAAAAACCAACGGAAAAATAAATAAATAAAAGAGTTTTAGAAAGAAGAAAGCACAGGGTAGAGAAAAGGTCCAGCAGTTAGAAAAGGTCCGGCATCCATATGGCGGTTCACAGCTTTCTGCAACTCCAGTTCCTTGACATCTGATATGGTCTTCTGACCTCCATGGGTACTAGACATGCACATGATAAACATACATACTCAACAAGCAAAACATTCACACACATACAATAAAATAAGTAAATCTAAAAAGTAAATAAAGAGTCAAAATGTAACTTCCTGAAGTCTGTTTCAGTGGAAGGAACTCTTAAAGCTGGTGGTAGGTGTTGCCTGATCAAGGATCAAGAGGCTAATAATTAACTCTTTAGGGCAAGTTTTACAAGAATACGTTTCCTGTGTCTTGACAGTCCACCCATAACTGAGATTTGAAAGTAAACAATTATGGTACTGAAGATTATTGCTCAGTTGTGCTTAAAATACAGCTATTCCAAGTTGAGTGGGCTGACTCACTCCTGTAATAAGAACACAGAGAAGGCTGAGGCGAGGAGGCTCAAACACTGGATTAAGGCCAGCCTGGGCTACATAGTGAGCTCAAGGCTATCTTGGTCTAATATAGCGAGGCCCTTACCTACAAGACAAAACAAAATATGCAGCCATTATTATCCATTTATTATAGAAATGAACACCGTTCATCAAATATCTGAGTATCTCCTGTGCACTAATAGCAAGCAGGCCTAGAGAAAACGATAAGTAGCCTATATCAAATGATGGCCTGTGTTTGACTGCTGGATGCCCACATAGCTTTGTAGCCTATGGTCACTCAGCACAGTTTTGATGGGCTATGTGTGTGTCCTGACAGAGAAAGCTGAGGATTCCCAGGAGGCCTGGAGCATGCTCTTAGATAAGATCAGGGGAGTGGCATCAGTGAACCCTTGAGGTTTGTTTAATCACCAAACTCATTTGCACTTTTTCTAGGAGGAATTCTAGTTTGTGAGTAAGATGTAGGAAAGCGGAATAAGATGAGTTCTTGTTGGTTTATGTAAATGAAGTTACCACGCTGGCTTGCTTTCATCTAACCACAAAGGGTAACACAATAGCTTTTTTAGAATCTGTACTGTCCAGAGCACCCACAATAGCCTTTGGTAGGGTCAAATGGATACTTTGTTAACTTTTTAGACAGATTTGTTGAGGGCCTTCCATGTGCTAGTCTTTGTTCTACATCAGATATCAGAAGGAGGTGCTACACTTTCCCAGAATTAGGTTATTTTGTTCCAGTCTTAAACGTGAACAGTGGCTGTGAGCTGTGGGAAGGTGGCTTGGTTTTCTGTGGGGTAGTAAAGACAATCCGAGCATAAACTGCATGGGCATCTTTGAAAATCAGAAGCCTCAATAAGACTGGAACTTGACCACATAGAGGTGACACAATGGTGTTGCAAAGATAAAATTGGGATTCTCCATAGAAAATATATTTTGCAGACTAAATTGATGACTAAGTGGTTAAGAAGCTCACTGCTCTTGTAGTAGACTCAAGTTCAGTTCCTGGCACCCAGGTAGGGCAATTCACAGCACTAGGGTTCTGATGCCCTCTTGTGGACTCCAGAGGCATCTCCACTCACAAATACACATAACTCCCCACCACAAACCTATAAATACTTAATTAAAAAATTTTTTCTAGAGAAAAAAGAAAATTTTGAAGATTTTCTGATATGAACACAAATAAAAGTAACAGTTTATTCCTTTAAAGTATGAACATAATTTTAATTTAAAAAAATTACAAGGGCCAGGAGTATAGTGTAATAATACAATGGTACTCAAGAGGCTCTAAGCTCAGTCCCTCACATACCTTTTCCCCAAAAGGAAATACACTCAATTATGTCTTCTACTAGTGGAACTCAAACCAGATGTCAGCAACAAGCCTTCAAAGCAAATCATCCGTAGCACATTAGGCACAAAGCAATGTAATATCTGTGGGTGTTCTCCAAGTTAAACCCATTACCAGTATGTATTTAAACCACTAGAATGTGGGGAATTGTAGAAAGTAATTGCCAAGGACACAGCTGATGAAAAATTAGCTACTGAAAATCAATCGCTTTGATTTGAAAATAGTCGATATGTAAACTTTTCTCTAATGATAATTAGGCCCAGTTATAAATTCATTCATTCATTTGTTACATAAAAGTACATTTGTAGATTGTGTTGATAAATCCAGGTCATCTTCAAATAAGAGAATGACCATGTCTGGTGGGGAGGATACTGTCTCATGAAGAGGCTGAAAACATCCTGGCTTGTTGTACAGAAATGCCTCTTGATTGATCTGATTTTGGTTGAAACCAAATTACTAAATATATAATTACTAAATATAATCTACTAAATAGAGAGGTTGTGGGTTCCATGACAGCAAGGAAGAGAGTATGTGTGATAAACTCCAAAGTATAACTCTTGTATCAATTCAGTAACCATTTAATAGTAGCAGTGTACATGCAGTAGCCAAAGAACTGTTGAATATGGGAAAGACTACAGTGGTCTAAGAGTTGAATTATTTTAATATAAATTAGTAGTGTGTGGCAGGATCCTAAGTAAATAATGCAGTATTAGAAGGCCTCTTTTTTAAAGTTGGTATTGCGAATAGAGTGTCTTTGTTCTGCAATAGATGTCTTAGTTCTGGAAGCTCTGTTTATGGAGGAATCATGGAAAACCAAAGCATGGGACTGGGCAGATGGCGCAGTGGTTAAGAGCATCTTCTGCTCTTTTGATGGGTTTGGTTCCCAAGACATAAGTGTCAAACTCACTGCCATCTGTGACTCCTGTTCCAGGGGCTCCAGTGTGCTCCGCAGGCCTCCGCAGGCTCCAGGCACTTGGTGCACATGCATCCACGCAAGCAATACACTTAAAATAAATACAACTTCTTTTTTCTTTCTTTTTTTTTTTTTGAGACTGTTTTTCTATGTAACTTTGGAGCGTGTCCTTGAACTCCCTCTTTAGACCAGGCTGCCCTCCAACTTACAGAGATTCACCTGCCTCTGCCTCCCGAATCCTGGGATTATAGGTGTACTCCACCACTGCCCAGCAATACAACATTTTTTTTTAAATCTCAAAAGAAAAGTGAGGCAGTAAACAGGCAGGAAACTAGGTCTGAACACTTTGACGTGGAAGGTAGTGAAGAGGAAAAGGCTTAGGGAAATGCGAAGTGATTCTCGACTGTGTGAAAAGCTATCACAGACATGGGTAAGTAGACGTGAGATTTGCTTCAGGTGGTTTAGGCTAGAGACTCCCTTCTGGAAAAAAGAGGTTTGTATTTGTTTTCATGCACACAAAAACATCAGAAAAAGAAATAATACCTTTTGAGTTCATTTTGTGTACACTCCTCTCAAGATTACTTGCTGGTGATATGTTTTGGAAGGTACCCAGCACTAAGAACAAATAAATACCTTTTCAAGATCGTTCTATCACTAAGAACTGGCCCATTGGGACTGGAGAGATGGTTCTGTTGGTTATGTTTCCCAGCACATGGCTGCTCACAGTCATCACTCCAATTCCAAGTCAACGGGATCCAGCACTGTCTTCTGTATCCTCAGGCACCAGGCAGGCATGCATCTATTGCACATATAGGCATGCAGGCGAACACTTATGCCCAGGAAATAAAATAATATTTTTTAAAGGAACCTATGAATCTCTGACGTGTAAGAAATACCATTTGACTAATGATAATGGTTACTGGTGCCTATATTATTCAGATAAATATAAATGCCCACCACATGCTGATTTTGATCCAGAGTCACCAAGGTTAAAGTTCCTTGCTTCATTCGTAAGGATTTTCAAGGGAAAATTGTCTGTATTCTGTCAATCATATTTTAATAAAACGCTGATTGGCCAGGCAGGCAGTATAGGCGGGAAAGCCAGACGGGAAGTAGGGGTGGAGCAAAGAGACTGGGAGTATTCTGGGACACAGGAAGCTCCCTCTGCCACTCCTGCGCAGACCACCGAAGCAGCAACATGTAAGCTGACAACTGAAAAAGGTACCAAGCCATGTGGCTAACATAGATAAGGATAATGGGGTAACATAAGTTATGAGAGCTAATAAGTAGCCTGACCTAATGGGCCAATCAGTTTATAATCTTATGGAGTCCTGTGTATGATTTTCTTTGGGACTTGCCGGTTGTGGGGTATCAGGTGGGACAGATACCCCAACAAGCCGGCCCCTCATACTACACAGGGTTGTTTGGATGAGCATATCGGTCTTGTAGACTTTATTAAAATACTTTGCTTATTCTTTTGAGTAGGTAAAATATGTCCAAATAGCCCTTTTTGTAATATTTTTGTCAGCAAAGATTTTAGAAAATAGTAAACAGCAGTTTTGTTTGACTGAATTAAAGAAAGTTGATTGTGTTTTGAATTTTTGTAATAATGTACATAGAGAATTGAAGTACCTTCCAAATTAAAATGGAAGTGGCTTTCAGCTTGTCTTCCCATTCTAAATGATTCATTATTAATTCATAAGCAGGTGATTATTGAGTGCTTGTTATGTTCTGGAAACTGTGCAAGTTCTGGGGGCACAGCAGTGAAAGAAATCCTTGTCTGCTCAGAGCTCACAAAACAAATCAGGAGATAATGCTCAAATAAAGTAGAGATTAGCATCAGTTGAGTAAGGGGAAATGGAGGCAATAAGGATTTGGCCTTTGCTTAGAGTAACATAGGAAACCCTTGGGCTGTTTGTTAAAAAGGAGTGATATGATTGTGAGTTGGTTTGATATAATTTAAGAAAGAGTTGATAGGGCTGATTTCATTGTAGAAGTAGGGGTTATAAGTGTTTGTGGTTTGGATACTGATGGCTTGTTATAGGTCAAATGTGGAAATTAAGAGTGTGTGATCATTGATGAATCCAAGGGCTTTGGCCCAAGCAACTGGACCTGGAATGGAATAGGGCAGAGTGACTATATTTGGGAGAGGTGGTAGAGATAAGGAACTGAGTTTTGAGGGTAGTGAACTTTGAGCTGTCTTTTAGCAGCTAAGAAGAGATGTTGGGTATAGTCGTGGGAGTTCAGGGCAGTAGCTGGGAACGGTGAGTATTGATAAAGGAGAAGAGGGGAGCATGAACTAGACCTGGGTGATATATCTACTGCTTCCCATCATCTGCTGAAAGAGGGTGAAAGAAGGGTTTGGTGTAAGTGCATTAGTAATCCTAGGGCTGGGGAGGCAGAGACAGCAAATCCCTGGGGCTCACTGGCAAACCAGCCTAGGCTAATTGACAGGCTCCCATTCCCAATGAGAGACCCTGTCCATTCTCCCAAAAAAATTTGGGGTTTGGGAGGTGGTTCAGGAGCCTAAGGATGCTTCACCGCCAGAGTCTAATACCCAGGACCCATGTGGTGGAAACAGAAGATTCCTGAAGTTGTTCTCTGACTTCATGAGAGCATGCACACATACTAAATAATAAGTAAATAAATATTTAAAGGGAGGGAGCTAGAGAGATGGCTTGGCAGTTAGGAGCACTGACTGACCTTCCAGAAAACCTGAATTCAGTTCCTAGCACCCACGTGGTGGCTCACAACTGTGTGTAACTAATCCTAGGTGATCTAATTCCCTCTTCTAGCCTCCAAGGGTATGTGCAGGCAAAATATCCATATACATTAAAAAAGAAGAGGAGGAGGAAGAGAGAAAGAACAAATGAAAAAGAAAGAAGAAGAAAAAGGAAAAGAGAGAAAGAAAAAACTACTACTACTAATTATTATTATTATTATTTGACTTTTCAAGACAGTGTTTCTCTGTGTAACTGCCCTGGCTGTCCTGGAACTCAGTCTGTAAACCAGGCTGGCCTTAAACTCATAGAAATCCACCTGCCTCTGCCACCCAAGTGCTGGGATTAAAGGTGTGCACCACCACTTCCCAGCGACAAATAAAAATTTTTAAAAGGAGGGCATGTATACCAGTCCTTTGGTTGGTTGAACTTTGACTGTCATGTGTATATACCTGAATGCAAACACATGTACCCCTACATGAATACACACACACAGTGACTATCTGATGTTGATTTCCTTTTTCCATACCTTACTGTCCTGAAGCCACTTACACAGGTCCATGGTTTGTGCATCCACACAGCTGGTCTAACACAGTGATTGCTATTATTTCAGAGATAAATACTTTCTTGGAAGATCCAGAATTTGCTGATATTGTATTGAGAGCAGAGCAAGCAATAGAAAATGGAATTTTCCCAGAAAGAATCTCTCAAGGGTCAAGTGGAAGTTACTTTGTGAAGGATTCTAAAAGGGTGAGAACTTCACATGTATTATGCACATTTTGGAAGACAAGACTTTAAATGTAAAATGTCTGAGTTTCTGGAAATATTTTTCCTATTACATCTGTTTGTTCCTCCTTTTCCAAAATAAAGGTCGGTGGTTTCTGTTTTGTTTTACTAATTGCTAAATAATGTAGAAACGGAGCTGTTAGTTTCCAGTTGTAACTTTCTGCTCTGATGCTTTCTATTTGGTTCTGTTGGTTGAATCAAACGTTTATTGTATACCCATATTTACAGGTGAATCTGTTAATGCACCTTCATAGTCCCCCTCTATAGCTCTGTTACCATATTAACCAAGTACCGTGGAAGTTGAGATTTTTAAAACCTGCCTAATGTCATTTCCCAATACTTGATTTTTTTAAAAAGGTATAGTTTATTGCCCCAGGAAAATTTCCCTGGTATTATGCCAAGGAAAAGAGGCAAGGCAAAGCTTGAAGGCATTAGAGTGTAGCAAAGCAAAATGAACTCTGATTCTGGAGTGGAAAAGAAAAGTTGGTATTCACTTTCTTCCACTGAGTCCAGAGTTTTTCAGAAATGGTGTTGTCTTTTCTAAAATTTTTTTGTGCGGTGTCTTTTCCAAAACTTTTTTGTGTGGTACACAGCCCACCATTCTTTTTCCATGAGCCCCCACCCCCATAATTGAAGTGATTTTAGCTGTTGTGTGGTGGTGCACACCTTCAATCCCACCACTGGGGTAGGCAGATCTCTGAGTTCAAGGTCAGCCTGGTCTACCGTGAGTTCCAGGACAGCCAGGGCTACACAGAGAAACCCTGTCTCAAGAGAAAAACAAAAATGTGATTTTTTTTTAAAAAAAGCATCATTTTATTTGTTTAAAAAAATAACAAAAAAGAGGTTATAGACGTATATGCACGATCAGACCTACATTTCTTTGATGGGGGAGTAAGAAATTTTGGATCTCGTGTCCTGTGCTGGTGAAAGCCTGCTCTTTCTGCCGCATAAGTACTGAGCTAATGGGGCTGTATTGCCTGCTTTTATGTGGTTTCGGGTTTAGAACCCAAGGCGTCATGCATGCTAGGCAAGCCCTCCACTAACTGGGTTATACCCAGCCCCAGCCCCCCCCCCCATTTCTTAAAAAATAAAGTATACATATTTGTCATTTGCAGGCACTGTCAGTCTTTATTCCAAGTTTTTGTTGTTGTTGATGATAATTTTTGGTTTTGAGACAGATTTCCTCTGTAATTCATGCTGGCTTAGAACTCACTGTGCAGCAGGAATCCTCTTGTCTTAGCCTCTCAAGTGGTAGGGATCATAGTAAATAATAAATCAGGTCACAAGCCTAACTTCCAGGCTTGAGTTTTTAATTTGTTCTTCTTTAGCTTAAGTTAATTTTTTTTTAGAATTTACTGCATTATAAATAATGTTTAAAATTATATTTTTATTTCTTGTCTGAGATAATTGAGCCATAAATTTAATGAGTATATTTTATTAGATTAGTACTAACGATTGTAGAAACTTTTGGACACCCATAAAATTTTTTTTCTTCTTTATTTTTTTTCTTACAAGAAGAATTTTGCTACATGTCCTAGGCTAGCCCAGAATTCACTATCCCCCTGTCTTAGGTAACCCAGTAAGTACTGGGATTACAGGTGTTCTACTACCATGGCCAAAGCTTTTCTTTCTAGGAGAGGCTTAAGATAGATTCATGAAAACTATAATGTAGAGGCAGGTGGATCTCTGTGAGTTCAAGTCCAGCCTGGTCTACAAGAGCCAGTTCCAGAACAGGCTCCAAAGCTACAGAGAAACCCTGTCTCAAAGACCAAAAAAAAAAAAAAAAAGAAAGAAAAAAGAAAAATATAATGGGAAAAAATCCTAGGTCTGAACTGTTGATAGCATAGTCATTCAGTTTATGTTATTTGTTTGTGTACTTAAGAATTAGTTGAGCACCTACTATGTGCCAGGCACTGTTCTGAGTACTGGAGGTAAACTCTAGTGAATTCCTTGCCTTTTTAAAATATTTAGCACAGCAGGAAAGGAGATAGTGAGTAAGTGTATGTTTGAATGTTTAGTAGATCCTAAGTAATACACAACACTGCTTACATGAAATGTAGTCTGTGGCAGAAGAAACTCTTCTTGTGAGTTTGAAATCAGCCTGGACAACCTGGCCATAAAGAGAGAAGTGGGATGGTGTTGGGGAGTGGGGCAGACTCCAGTGTTAATTTGAAAGTGCTGCAATTCAAAACACTTGCAATTAATCTGGTTAAATGGCAGAAGCCTTGTCTCAATTTCTAAGGTTTGTCAGAGCAAAGTTTAAAAAGTACTGATAGAGGGTAATAATGATTTTAAATTGAGCATAGTTTTTACAGTGTGATTGAAATCAGTCATCTTAGTACTTAAAGGTTATGTGTAAATCTTTTTTATTGCAATACATTTTGTAGATTGTTATCCACCTGTCCATAAAAGTCTAATTGGATTTCTACTTTCCTTTTCCCCCTAGCATATTATTGGTGTGTTTAAACCCAAATCAGAAGAACCTTACGGCCAGCTGAACCCAAAGTGGACCAAGTATGTCCATAAGGTTTGCTGTCCCTGCTGCTTTGGCAGAGGCTGCCTGCTTCCTAACCAGGGGTACCTCTCTGAAGCTGGTGCCTACCTGGTAGATGTAAAGCTTCAGCTGGGCATTGTACCTAAAACGAAGGTAAAGGAGAGTTTGCTGTCAGACTGAGCCTGCACTTAGACTTCACTTATTTGTGGACACTTGAGCGATAACTCCCAATGGTAGAGCCTAGTGGAATTCCCTTTGTGATAAGTCAGGAACCCAGAGCAGCAGCTGGTTTCATGCACTCTGGTATATAACCATGCAGCAGCCAAGGGGATGTCTCTTGCTTCTGTGAGGTCACAGGAAAGGGGAAAGAACCAGGGGTAGATCCTGGAGACCCTTTGATCCTGCTGACAGTTGCTTACTTAAATGGCCACAATGCTGCCCTTGTCTTCTTTTGAACCTTTATGTAATTTTATTTGATCCCTTCCTTAAAATGTCCATCCTAGCTCTAGATTTGAAGGCTTTTATTTTTTTTCCACTAGAAACTTTGGACTGCTTTTATATCTTTTTTAAAAGAAATATATGCCATTTAAAATTCTTGTAAAGATTTTAGATTCTCTAGGAGCTTTGTTATAGGGTTAGACCTTGCTCATTTACAGCATTAGAGTGAATTTGATGGTCCATGTGAATAGAAATACCATAATCCAAACTCTAACCATTTTTCTAGGTGGTTTGGCTTGTCAGTGAGACATTTAACTACAGTGCAATTGACCGTGCAAAATCAAGAGGCAAAAAGTATGCCTTAGAGATAGTGCCAAAAGTAGGTAGAAAGTTTCATCGAATAGGACTTCCTCCTAAGGTAAGTTACTCTAATAAGCTTTGCTTTCAGGGCAATTGGACATTTATTTCCTAAACTCCGGGGATGAAGCGTGTAGCTAGACATTGGGCATCCTGCTGTAGACTGGAAATAATCTTTAAAAAAGAGAATACTTTTTCCTCTTGAGCTCATAGTAACAAGCAGTTTCAGTGCGGTTTGATGAAGCTGGTCCACGGAGCTCTGAGGGGATAGGAAAAGGATACCTAGAATAGAGTTCTTTTCGGTGGCAAGCACATGCCTGGCATGCATATGCAAGGTTCTGGATCTAGTCCTTTCTGAGGTGGGGTGGGGTGGAACTTACTGAGTTAGGAGGAGTCAAGATGTGGTTTGAAAGACTTTGTAAAATTCCTGTGAAAAGCACAGGTCTAGAGTTAGAGCTGGGTCCCACTTCAGCCTTTCTGAAAACAATCCCAGTTTTTATAAAAGAGGTGAAAAACTATGATTCCCTTTTAGGTTGCAAGGATAAACTGAAGAAATTCTCGTCACTTGGCACATAGTGAAGACTTAGTAAATGGTAGTTCTGCATGTGTTCACTACTGTCCAGATTTAATATTTATTAAAACCTAAGGACCTTTTGGCAGCTAGCTAAGCAAGGGTATGGAGAACTAATGGAAGAGGCATTCTAGAAAATTCTACATTACTTATTTTTTTAAATATATTTGACTTAGAATTTTATTGTTGCTATACAAGTACCTAAAGAATTTGAGTAGAAACTCAAAATTAACTGATTTTTCTATTTAATTGCATTCCAGGTAGTCAGTTTTGAACATTTTTTCTATTTTCTTGGATGTGCTAAAATAGATATGACTAAGCAAGACTGCTCAAAAGAAACCTTTAGGAAGTTGTTAAAGTTTCTAACAAGCATGTTAAGCTAAGGAACAAACTTTTTAATGGTGATTTGTTTGCTTGCATTTGTGAGGCAGAATAGGTTGCTCATTACCTGTGTGTCATCTACTGATGAAATTTGTATTCCGACATCAGCTTCTTTAGTATTAACTAGTAATTTTAATAATAAAAATGCATTTTCAATGGGCATATCTTCAAGGAAAAGACTCTTTAAAAAGTCATTAGAAAGGCTACAATCAGTTGATTAAATCTTTAAAATTTATATGATCTTTGATCTGCCTAAAGAATCCATTGTACTTTAAAATTTATTTTTTGTACTTGATGTTATGGAAAAAATACAAAAACGCTACCTTGGTGATAAAATTGCACTGTCATAAAATAACCAAGACAGTATACAGTGTGGCCTCTCAGTTAAAGTCACTTTGATACCTATTCTTAGGAAGTAGCCTTCTTCAGGTGTCACCTTCAGGGCATATATTTATTCTTTTTTCAATTTCCTAAAATAACTCCCTAAAGGTCTTGGGTTGAGCCTGTTGCTGTGTGTTCTTGTGATTACTTAAGCTGTTAAATGATCTTAATAAGTGTGGCTTATCTGGATTAGTATTAAATGCTGTTTTTCTTATGTGCTTGTGTAGCATTCTGTGAATGTACTGCTGAGAAATTTGAAAAATAATGCCTTTGTGCTTGTACTTTCCTTTCTAACTATAGTTCTTGAAATTATAGATTGGTTCCTTTCAGCTGTTTGTGGAAGATTACAAGGAGGCTGAGTATTGGCTTAGGAAGTTTGAAGCTGAGCCTCTGCCTGAAAACATTAGAAAGCAATTTCAGTCACAGTTTGAAAGATTAGTGATTTTGGATTACATCATCAGAAATACAGGTATTAACAGTCTCTCATTTGTTCAATCTCATTAGTTGTAAGCCAGATTCTTGTTACTGAAGTCAAAGCCATAAATGTTGCTTCGAGAGTCCTCTGCAGTGTTGGGAACTGAGGAAGCTCTGACCCTCCTGGGCACGTAGTCCTGTGTTGAGGGTCTGATTCATACAGGGCCACAGAGACACTTCCTGTCCCCTCAGATGGAGTTGCCTAAAAGCAGAACAAAGCCAGAGACTAGAACTGCTGTCCCCAAAAAGATTCTTCTTTTAATATTGCATTATGTTGTTTGTGAAACATTAAGCTTTTTGTTTGTGCTCTACTGTGAGGGAACAGTGGTGTAGACGGGACAAAACTGTGGTTCCCTAGACTCTCAGGTCAGTATTTCATGAGAACGTATCCAATATACATCTTCTCAGATACCACGCTCTACAGAAATTACAAGTTGGGGCCAGGCTTGTGCTTCACAAGGCCTCGTGGTGATGCCTATGTATTCTACAGCTTGGGAGCTACTACTTTCAAGTTTGTTTTTCATTACTTATATTAGCATCATATAATTTTATCAATTTGACTTTCTTAATTAAATGGTCTTAGGTTAATATTAAAGCTGGCCCAGAGTAGTCAGATGTTTACACTGGGCGAGGCTACTTTGAATGTGTGTAGCAGGCAGAGTAAATATGCTTTCTTCCCCAAGCAAAAAGACGTTATCTTTGATTTTAACTAACCTTGATCTAGCCGTTGCCCTTACTGTACAGGGCGGTTCTGAGGGTCAAATCAGTTCATGTAGGTGAAGCACTTAGAACAATAATCTGGCACAGGGAAAAGTTTAGTAAATGTCAGGTTATATTGACCAGGTTGTTAAAATTGTTGTAAACCAGAACTTTCTGTTGTCTAGTTAGGGTTTTTATTGCTGCGATGAGACACCATGACTGAAAAGCAAGCTGGGGAGGAAAGGGCTTATTTGGCTTACACTTCCATATCACTGTTGATCACTGAAGGAAGTTAGGACAGGAACTCAGGCAGGGCAGGAACCTGGAGTCAGGAGCTGACACACAGGCTCTGCTGACTTATTCCCCATGGCTTGCTCAGTTTGCTTTTTTATAGAACCCAGGACCACCCAGGACCACAAGCCCCAGGGTAGCCCCACCCACAATGGATTGGGCCCTCCCCATCAATCACTAAATTAAGAAAATGCCCTAAAGTCAGATCTTATGGAGGCATTTTTCTCAATTGAGAGTCTTCCTTTCAGATGACTCTAGTTTGTGTGTCAACTTGACCTAAGACTAGCCAGCACATCTGTGATGAATCTGTGCTACAGAAAACCAACAAAGATCTCAAAAAACTGCGGGCTTAGATGTTTTTCTTAGTATGAAGCCACAATATCTGTAAATATCAACTAACAAACTTTTGTTTCTTTTGAAAGACAGAGGAAATGATAATTGGCTAATCAAATATGAAAAGTCAAAGAAAATTAAAAGTAAGGTAAGGAAAACTTAGTGAGTAAAAAGTATGTATTCAGCTTATATACCATTTCTTGAAATTGTTCTTCACCTTGTTTCTGAGGCATGATATTTCCTTGGAGCTTGCCAGGTAAGCTAGGCTGGCTGTTGAGTTCTCTGCCTCCTTGGCACTGGCTTTCCAGGTGTAACTGTCATGCCTGACTTTTCACGTGAGTCCTGGATGTGAAATTCAGGGTCTCAGGCTTGTGCTGCAAACATTTTACCAACAGAGCCATATCCCCAGCTCTGCACTCTACCTCTAGAGCAAAACCCTTTCTTGCCTTCTTTCCTTCCCTTCCTGAGTCTGTTTGTATTGGAGACCAAGTCTGACATCCACTCAGGATTTGTAAAGCTTTTGACATTTGTAGAAATACTGTCTGTACCTTCTGATATCTAGGGACATGTTTTTATCTACTAATTTTGTTTCTTCTGAGTATTTTGATTCAGTGTTAGGTAATACAACATTACATAATAAAATGGAATGTGTTTTACTTGTGAATCATTTCCTTTGAACTTTTTAAAAAGTACTTCTACTTAAACTGGGTTAAGCTTACAAAGTAGATTATATAGATGCTCCACAGTATCAGAATCAGATAGTTCAGCTTCATTGCTATTAACCTTGGGTATCTGTCTCAATTTTTAAAATTAATTAATTTATTTATTGATTGATTGATTGAGTCAGAGTTTCTCAGTCACTATGGGCCAGTCCTGGAACTTGCTGTGTAGACCAGGCTGGCCTTGAACTCACAGAGATCTGCCCGCCTCTTCCTCCCAAGTTCTGGGATTAAAGACGTACGCCACCACTGCCCAGCTTCAGTTACTTTTCTATTACTATGAAGAGACACCATGACCAAAGCACCTTATAGAAAGAAAGTTTATTAGGGACTTCCTGAGGATTAGAGTTCATGACCATCAAGGCAGGGAGCATAGCAACAGGCAGGCATTGTGCTGGAGCAGTTGCTGCAAGCTCACATCCTGGTCCACAAGCACAAGGCAGAGAGAACTAACTGGGAATAGCATGGACTTTTGAAACCTCAGAGCCCACCTCCTCCAAGGCTTTACCTTCTAATCCTTCCCAAACAGTTCCACCAACTGGGGGCCAAGTATTCAAACATGCGCCTATGGGGGCCATTCTCATTCAAACCTTCACAAATTCAAATTTTAGACATTTATGTAAGATACACTTTTAGGATAGGTTTTTAAGCTTAAAAATGTATATTGTAGAATGTCTAAATAACTTCTTCAATATTTAATCTTTGTGTTCTCAAGTTATCACTTAAGCTATTGTATCACTTTGAAATGTTTATACTTTAAGCATTTATCCAGGAAATTTGAAAATTTTGTATTCATAGTACTTAGCAATATCATAAAGTAACATAGGTGCATCTTAAAGGTCTGCTAAGCAACAGAAGCTATGATGGGGGCTGGAGATGGCTCAGTGGTTAAGATCACAGCTGCTTTTCCAGAGAACGTGGATTCAATTCTAGCACCCACATGGTAGCTCACAACCCACTCTGTAGCTCCAGTTCCAGGAGATCTGCCGCCCTCTTCTGGTCTCTGTGTGCACCAGGCGTGTGTGCAGGCAAATACCCATGTGCATAAAATCAAATAATGCTGTTAAGAGAGTGACAGTAGACAAATATAAAACATTTAAGCTTCTTTCTCTAAAGTTAGTATTTTCAAACTGTCTTCTCTGAATGGAAAAAAAAATCATTTACTAAGTAAATCTGTAATTCCAACTTTTAAAAATAGCAGTAATGAAATGTTTACTGTTTATATTATCTCTTCCTTTCTTGTATGATTATTGTTTTTTATGAAAATCTGATTTTAATTTTATAAATTTCCAAGAGAGCATGCACTTAAGCCTCAGTAATAATTGTGAGTAATTGATTCTTTGAAAATATTTTTGTAGAATCTATTATTTGCCATTTTTCTCCCATTTAGGACTCAAACTGGATTGATGATAAAGAATTGCTTATTAAAATAGCTGCAATTGATAATGGGCTAGCATTTCCCTTTAAACATCCTGATGAATGGAGAGCATGTAAGTATTAGAGTTCTCCCAGATGGAAAGGGTACAGAATTGACAGATGGAAATAGCAGAGGAAACATGGTAAAGTCTGATCACGTGTTAGGGCTCTCTAGCCCCTGGGACTTTTAAGGTATGAGTGGCTTGGGTCTTGCTACTTATTGTTTGTATACTTTCGAATGGCCTTGTTTGGTTTTAGTCTTGGAAATGGGTTTGATAACTTGTGATTTCTAAGGTGTTAATATAAGAATGATTTAACAGAATGTCTTAATAGAGTTGTGTGTTGATGTTTTGGGCTCCATTCCTTTAGCAAGAGTCAGTCTTCCCATGTCACTTTTAGTTGCCCTTCCTGCTGCAGGTAATTAGTTTTGATACATTTGAAGCCAATTTGGGACATTTCGGTTGTATTTAAAATTGTCCATATCTTCATATCTTGAACAATTTCTTCTTCTTCTTCTTCTTCTTCTTCTTCTTCTTCTTCTTCTTCTTCTCCTTCTCCTTCTCCTTCTCCTTCTCCTTCTCCTTCTCCTTC